TAAAAAAAAAAAAAAACCACAGTAAAATCTAGTTTTCAATGTTGACGCTCTAATGTCCTTTGGGAATAAAGCGCAGGGATGTCCTGGTTAGTTTTGATTGATCACCCTCTTTCTGATGGGCTTTCACTACCAAGCCAGGAGGCTGAAACTCACCGCCTGCTCCCCAGACACAGCATTAACCAGGGGTGCATTGACTTCCTGCCTCTTCTCCCCAATCTGCTTCCTCTTTCTCTAGCTCTCTGCCCTCCCTTTGCCAAGCCCCCCTCCTCACTCCATCCCCTGCTCTCAGCATGAGTCCCCCACCCACCCAAACCCAGGCAGGCACACACAGTCCTGAACACCACCACCAGCTACAGAAGGGGATTTMTTCCCCTCTAGTCCTGATTCTCTGAAGAAAAAGAAGAAGAAGAAGAAAAGTCTAAACAAGAAATATTCATATTCTGCATGCTTAATGATCACTTCTTTTCCAAGGCTTTTTCCCCCTCATGTTCACAATTAAAATTAATAGCACTCTCTTCCTCACCCACCCAAAAAAGTAAAGTGCCTTGCTGTGTGTGGCTCTTTGGAACGAGTCCATAGTTCTACGCAATATTTTAGCAGGGTTGGATTTTTTCACTCCCCCCTCAACGGTACTTTCCCTTCCCTCCTCAGACAGTTGCTCTGTGAACCCTCTCCTCCCAAGCAATGAAAATAAGCTCCCAAACCTACAAGAATATAAATAAATAGACCAGAAAGGAAGGAGAGAAAAAGGAAAGCAGGGAAAGAAAATGAAAAACACTTACCGAGCAAACTTCCAAGGTTAGATTAAAAAAAAATAAATAAAAGAAGTTTTTTTGTTGTTGTTGTTTTCAAATAAGGTGCCTTGGGGGGTGGAGGGGAAGGCATATTCTCAACTCTCCAGAACCGATGCATCCTTAGCCTTCCCTTTACACTGACTCCTCTAAGCCCAGCTCTCACTAGTCTATTATTTTCACCAAAATATATGAAAATGTATGCAAATGAAAATCAGCACTAACTGTTCTCCCCTTGTTATATACTTTGGATTTTTTTTTCCAGACAAAACAATCACACTACGCAAAGGGAGGGAGTGGATGGGGTGGGGTGGGGAGGGGGTGGGAGGCTGGGGAACGTTTCGAGAACTAAGTACGTGGAAAGGGGGGAGTAAGAAGGGGACAGACCTCGGAACAGAAGTGCATTTCTGTTATCGAGGAGCACTGCGTTTTGGGGGGCTTCCCATAAGCATACACACCCTCCTTGCAAAGAAAGAAAGTGGATCTGTTTGCAGAGGCGCTATCACGTTTCATCAGGCCACCTGAGACTGCTTTTGAAAGCGTGTACTGTGAAATTCATAGCAGTAATTTAGACAAAATCCTCACTGTATATTAATGAAAGGCGGCCCCATGGCTCTGTTCCTATCCTCCCCATTCAGTGTAAACAAAACCACGAGACTCTCTCGGTTTTGAGCCGGATCCAAGCAAAATCGGCAGGAAAGGAAAACACGGGGTGCTGGCACTGACTATTCAAACGTCTGCACCTGGAGATCTCAGATTTATTCAATGAAATCTGTGTTCCATCTTTTATATATACATATACGCATACATAAATATGAAAAGGAACCTTTGGGGGACGCAGAGGGGAAAAAATCCGTTCTGTCTGGGGTTTGGTTACCACTGCCTTTTAGATCTATACCTTGACAATAATGGCTATGGCTTTGCTACAACCTACCTACGATGGTATCTTTCCACCCGGCAAGCAGGAGCTGGATGAGATCCTACACAAATTCTACGCGTCTACTGTTAATCTTGAGATCACGCCGAGGCTACRTTGCTGCTGCTGGACTGGAGAGCTCCGGCTTTAACTGAGTTTACCTAACTGCACTCGGCAGAGGAATTGTGCATCAGGAGAGAAGGGCAGACCCGTTCACATTATAATCGGAGCACATCGACTGCTCCAAAGCTACGTCCTGGGCCGCCGCTGGGTCTCGGGACTGGAGGCTGCAGGGCTGGCGCACCCACAGCTGGGGGTGCTGGGTGCACGCACTCGCACACTCATTAGGAACCATGTATTTATTGAATGTCCGAATTGGGTTAGTTCATTGGAAATCCCCGAGGAGGGTTCAATTTGCCCTTGTTTTCGTTGCCACTTTCTCTTTTTTCTTGGTTCGCTGAGGTTCCTCTGTGCAGCGTTTCCGCTTGGCCGCGTCCCCCCACTCCACCCCACCCCACCCCCGCTTCTCCCGCCTACCCCGAGTACTCCCCCTCCCATCTCCTTTAACTCTTTCTGCCGGGCTGGGACTGAGAAAGCATTTGTAGCCGCCGGTCCCATCTACCACGCAAAACCATCCGAGACGGAAAAGAAAGAAAAAAGCACCATCATGCCTAAGAATAGCAAGGGAGCAAAACCCCACCACTAATAACAATCACACTAAAATCACACGCGCGCGCGCGCACACACACACACACACACACAGAGAGAGACACACAGTACGCGGTGGAGCGCTGGAGGGCGCGGCTAGTGGATCCCAGATCTTTGGGCCGACTCCTACTGCCACAGGAATTCTAAAGGCATTGGGGTCGAATACACTTACGATGAATCTATGGGGGAAGGTCGGAATGATTGCTTTTCAAATACATCGCGTGGCTCCGCTGACCGGCACCCTCCAAACTCACAAGGGCACGCACGTTACTTGCATGAATCCCAGAGGAGGGTGGGTGGGAGGGAGGGAGGGAGAAGGAGAGAGGGAGAGGGGGTGGGGAAGAGCGCTAGCAGCGGCAGCGAGCGGTCCGTCTCGCACGCGCGGGCACCGCGCTGGTCCTGGGCTGCAGGTTTTCCCAGATGATGGCATCCGAGAACTTAAACAAAGAAGGCCGCCGCCGTCGCGCGGCGGCTGCAGAAAGTTGCGGTGGCGGATTTCCAAGGAGCGTGGCCACGACCCGAGCTCTCGGTGAGGCGAGCCCCCCCTTCCCACCCCCGCCGAGACGAGGATGGGGGCCGGCTGGTGAAGGGAAGAGGAAACTTTGAAAGCACTGGGGACACATCTGTCTATAGGTATTATCTTGAATGGTACATCCGTGCCGCGCGCTTTACAAATCTCTGACGTGGGGGCTGGAAGGCTGGGGGGGGGGGTTGCAACACAACGCAATACTAGGTGGGACGCGTAGACTACTGTTTTTCGTGATTTTTTTTCCTCTCCGATTGCTTTTTGATTTGCCCCCCTCCCGCCTCATCCCTCCCTTTCTCTCCTTTTTCTCCCCCCTGCCAGACCTATCGTGAACGCCTAGAGCCTCCGAGGGAACGCCAACGTTTGGGCCGGACACTAAGAGTTAAGATGTGGCGGAGGGGGCGGAGGGGACGGAGGGGGAGGGGCAGGGAGGGGAAAGTGGCGAGGGGGAGGGAGACTGGGGGGACGACAGATTTCCAGCTTCTACGACGCTCTGCCTAAATTAAAAAGCAACCAATCGGAACGGCCGGAAGGGGGGCCGCGCGTCCTGAGCCAGTCATTCCGGGCCTGCCAATCACCCAGCGGGTAGCCAATCAGCGGGGGCCCTGGTGCTCGACTTCCTTGTATTTGGGAAAGTGTGGTGGTGGGTGCGCGCTCGCGGCGGAGGGTAAACATTCTACAGTCCCTGCTCAGAGAGGGAGGGACAGAGAGCGAACTGTCAGATCGGAGCGAGAGCGGGCGCCCGAGAGAGAGGGAGAGCAGGAGAGAGAGGGAGGGAGAGGGAAAGTGAGAGAGGGAGAGAGCGCGAACGAGGGCGCAGAGCAAGCTCCCGCTGCAACTCTGCTCCRGCACGGCCAGCGCCAGCGCCCGCCGTCGGTGCACTCTGGGAGCGGCGCAACGTGCCCACTGGAGTTGGTTGTGTATCAAGGATCCCCTATATGCACACACACACCTCCACCTCCACCAATGCACTCTTCTTCCTCCTCCTCCAGACAACTGCTGGGAAAATAATAAAACACCAACCCCAACCGTCAGCAACAAGGTAACAGAGCAATTCGACATCATTTTTTTTCCTGTTCAATTTTTTTTCCTTGTTATATTTGTTTCCTAATTTCTGCCCAAAAGGAAAAATGTCGCATCAGACTGTGACTGTTGCGAGGAGAATGAAAAAGGACTCTTGTTTCAGAGGCAACCTAGAGCTCCGGCAATAGCAACTTCAGAGAAATGCACCATCGCAAGAAGTTTTCCTAGGACAGAACAAAACTTGAAACGACAGGACCAGAGGGGGAGAACAGGAACCAGCCTCCCCTCTCCACACAGGAGAACAGCCAACATCACCACGCCTTCAAGGACGAGAAAAGTTTTACTACTCTAAGGCAGAACGCGTGAAATGTGTTCCTGAGGAGGAGAGAAGAGAGCGGACCAGGAAAGGAGCGGGCCGGTGGCTGGTTATCCATAATTTGGCCAAGGAAGAAAGGAGCAGCTTCTTTCTTTGTTGTCTCCCTGAACCTTCACTTAGCAGGTGGACTGAGCCCCGCGGCAGGGCAGAGTCCGCGCTCGCCGGAGGACAGGAGGAGGAGCGGGTACCCGCGCGCCCCGGGAGAGCGCCCCAAGTGCAGGTCCCCTCCCCGCCTGGTGAGCCCCGCTGGAGCCAGCCGAGAGCGCCGGGGTTGGGGGGTGGCCACGACCCCCCCTGAAAGGGCTGGCCACGGAGCGCGCCCCGAGAAGCGACTCCCCCTCCCCAGAGCGCTGCTCCTGCTGCTGCTGTTGCTGCTGACCAAGGCCGGCCGGCGACCCCCGCGCCCTGCCCAGCGGCCTTGCAGCTGCAGCCCGGGACCGCGGCGGCGGCGGCGGCGGCGGGGGCGGAGGCGGCGGCGGAGGAGGCGGCGGCGAAGGCGGCGGGGCCGGCGGGGGCCCGGGGCGGGGGCGGGGGAGGAGGAGCGGGGGGAGGAGGAGGGAGGCGGGGGGGGGCGCGGCGGCAGCGGCGGCGGCGGCGGCCGCGGCTGCTGCTGCGGCGGCGGCGGTGGTGGCGGCGGGGGGGTGGCGGGAGCGGAGCGGCATGGCCACGGCGGCTTCTAACCCCTACCTGCCGGGGAACAGCCTGCTCGCGGCCGGCTCCATTGTGCACTCGGACGCGGCAGGGGCCGGTGGCGGCGGAGGTGGCGGTGGCGGCGGTGGCGGGGGAGGTGCAGGGGGCGGCGGCGGCGGCATGCAGCCCGGGAGCGCCGCCGTGACCTCGGGTGCCTACCGGGGGGACCCGTCCTCGGTCAAGATGGTCCAGAGTGACTTCATGCAGGGGGCCATGGCCGCCAGCAACGGCGGCCATATGCTGAGCCACGCGCACCAGTGGGTCACGGCCCTGCCCCACGCCGCCGCCGCCGCCGCCGCTGCCGCCGCCGCCGCGGTAGAGGCGAGCTCGCCGTGGTCGGGCAGCGCGGTGGGTATGGCCGGCAGCCCCCAGCAGCCGCCTCAGCCGCCGCCGCCACCACCGCAGGGCCCCGACGTGAAGGGTGGCGCCGGGCGCGATGACCTGCACGCCGGCACAGCGCTGCACCACCGCGGGCCGCCGCACTTAGGACCCCCACCGCCGCCCCCGCATCAGGGCCACCCCGGGGGTTGGGGGGCTGCCGCCGCTGCAGCCGCCGCCGCTGCAGCCGCCGCCGCCGCCGCCCACCTCCCGTCCATGGCCGGGGGACAGCAACCACCACCTCAGAGTCTACTCTACTCGCAGCCCGGGGGCTTCACCGTGAACGGCATGCTGAGCGCACCCCCAGGGCCCGGAGGAGGCGGCGGCGGCGCAGGTGGCGGCGCCCAGAGCCTAGTGCACCCAGGGCTGGTGCGCGGGGACACACCGGAGCTGGCCGAACACCATCACCACCATCACCATCACGCACACCCGCACCCGCCGCACCCGCACCACGCGCAAGGACCCCCGCACCATGGTGGCGGGGGTGGCGCCGGGCCCGGACTCAACAGCCACGACCCGCACTCGGACGAGGACACACCAACGTCGGACGACCTGGAGCAATTCGCCAAGCAGTTTAAGCAGCGGCGCATCAAGCTGGGCTTCACGCAGGCGGACGTGGGGCTGGCGTTGGGCACGCTGTACGGCAACGTGTTCTCGCAGACCACCATCTGCCGTTTCGAGGCCCTGCAGCTAAGCTTCAAGAATATGTGCAAGCTCAAACCGCTGCTGAACAAGTGGCTGGAGGAGGCGGACTCGAGCACTGGCAGCCCCACCAGCATCGACAAGATCGCGGCCCAGGGCCGCAAGCGCAAGAAGCGGACCTCTATCGAGGTGAGCGTCAAGGGCGCGCTCGAGAGCCACTTCCTCAAGTGCCCCAAGCCCTCGGCGCAGGAGATCACCAACCTGGCCGACAGCCTGCAACTCGAGAAAGAGGTAGTGCGGGTCTGGTTCTGCAACCGGCGCCAGAAAGAGAAGCGCATGACACCGCCCGGGATCCAACAACAGACGCCGGACGACGTCTACTCGCAGGTAGGCACCGTGAGCGCCGACACCCCACCACCGCACCACGGGCTGCAGACGAGCGTGCAGTGAAGGCCAAGGGCGCAGTGCGAAGAGGGCCGCCGCCCCCGCCGCCGCCTCCGCAGCCGCAGTCAGCACCGCCACCGCCCCCGCTGCCGCCGCCGCCGCCGCCGCCGTCGTCGCCGTGCCGCCGCCACCGCTGCTGCTGCGCTGACCCTGCACCTGGGCTGCACCGGGCCCCAGCCTGGGTGCATCCGCCGCCCTCCCCTCCGCCCAAAGACAGACAGGCATGCCCGCCCTTGGAGGAAAAGACGAGGGAGAAACGGACCAAGGAGACTTTTTTTTTTTTTTTTGAAGTCCAAGGAAGGAGGGACCAAAAAAATGAAAAAAAAAAAAAAGCATAATAAATACCCAGACTGTTTTATATACACACATAACAAACAAAACCTGAAGAGGAAAAGGCAACCGTGAGATCCCGTCTGTGCTGTGGTGGTGTTTTGTTTTTTTATTTTAAAGAAGGGTGACTTTACCTACAGCACCAAAACTGCACTCTTAAGGTGTACCCACCCTGAGATGTCCTACCTGGCAGCGGTGGACAGCACCTGCCTCGGCCTCCTCTCTTAAAAAAGAGAGAGAAAGAGCCCCCCTCTTTCTTCCACTTCCTCCCAAAGGGCTGCCTAAGAGCTGCGCGGAAACTTTCCCTCCTCCTCGGAGGGACCTGAAAGCCAGCACCAGATCTCCTCGGGGCTGACCCTGTGCTCCAGGACCCTGTTTTTCTTGGCCATTTTAAAGTCGTTTGGGAAGTGGCAACTCGACGTTGAAATGGGAAGGAGGGGGAAAAACAGTCTCGAGGCAAAGACAAATTCACAGCTTCTGAAATTAACAGACTGAATAGCAAAGCCAAAAGAAAGTATCCTCCAAGTAACCTTGGAAATAAAAGCAACGCGAAAGAGCCGAGGATGGGCGAGGGAGATCCGGACGTCCAGCCGCAAGTGGCCAGAGGCCCGGGGCTGGCTGAGTCTAGCGCGGTTGGGCTGACAGGGAGCGGAGGCCCAGCCTGCGAGGCTGCCCAGTGAGGCCCAGCCACCACGGACCCCGGCTTTGCCGGCAGCCGTTGGGGTGGACCATCATGCCTAAAGATTCCACCGCTAATATTTTTTTTATTAATATTTTTTATTTTTTATYTCTCGACTGACTCAGATAAAGGGATTTAGAAAGACTGAGCACCAGCCGCTGCACTTCTCTTGACTTCTGTCCTCAATCCGTTGCCAACTTTGATTGAATGGGTGCTGTGGATGTGATTATATAATACTGCCATTTCCAAGCAGTGTTTTTGGTAGGTTTTAATAAACAGACTTTTCAAAAGACGGCAATATAGAATTGTTAGATCCGTTGTTGATCTAAAAATATTTGCTTTATATTTTCATTAAATGACTTCTTTTAATATTTTATTCAGAATACTTATGAACTGCTGCAAAACGGTAATTTATTTTTCCCCAGATCTTGTATTACCTGTTTTTTTCAGACGAGCACAAATCAAAATGAAATGAAAATATGGACAGTTGTTAGGTAATAAGGGTATCTTTTGATGTGATCATTTGATTGTAATTTAATTTGAGTAGTGATTCCGTAAGAGCTGATCGAGAAAATAAATTTGTTAGAATGAAATAGTCTGTGTCTGATGCGTAAACACTGAGTTCTCTAGAAATTTTTTTTTTTTTTTTTTTTTTTTTTTTTTTACTTATACAAATCCTTAAGTAATAGTGTTAAGGAAATAGCGCCTGTTCCACTTAAGGCAAGTTTGGAAATTAAGAGTAAAGGCATTACTGAAACAGCTGGCATTTTAACATAGTGGTCATTCCTTGTTAATCTATAAATTTCACAATATTCTTCTCTCCCTTAATTTTACTGGGTGTCTTTATTGTTTTTTAGGTGAGATTATCTGTAAATGCTAGAGCCCTTTTCTTGAAGTTACCTGTGTTCTTTATTGAATGATTGGACTATATCACCAGTAAAAACGTGCCAACTGGTCATTAATGGTTAATACAGCCCTCCTGAGTTCAGTCTTTCCTTTTTCTTTCTACCCCCAACATATTAAATCTCTTCTCTTTTTCTGAAGACTAATAGTTGTAAAGAATAGCTTATAAATCTATAAAATATTTTGATATCAATTCCCATCACTATATGTAATTAAATTTAAATTATTGAGTTTTCCTGTTGTTTGAGGGTTGTTGGTTTTTTGCTTTTGGGTTTTTTTGTTTGTTTGTGTTTTTGTTTTCATGTAATGAAAGAATATAGTTTTCCCAATCCCTGCTTTTGGTCCATACTGCAGACCATCTTTGTGTTAGCAGCTCAGACTTCTGTGATTCAGTCTTTCCCCAGTGTGACTTCTTGTCTTCTTCACTGGTGCTGGGATTTAGCTTTTGGGGTCACTTTTTAGGTAAACCCTGCAGAGTGATCACATCAAGTTAGTGTATCAATATTTATAGTGTGGGAAAATGAAAGTAATGCCTTAGGTTGTGGGTACTAAAGATGCAGAGGCTCTACTGGGTTTACTCCCTATGTATTGGAGTTTGTTTGTTTGTTTAAGTACTCAAGGGTGAGAAAGCAATGATTTTATAGACCAGTTTCCCTTCATCTCACTTAACTGTCACTCACTCTTTGCCTACTTCTCTCATCTTCACTCCCTCTGCCTGTGATATCATCGATGTAGGGGTTAAAAAATCCCGGAAAACTGTGAGAGAAACAAGGAACAGTTATTTCTCTTAGGCCCCTGGGTCACTTTCATCAATCAAGCCCAGCCAGATGGCCATGTATTGGGTGGCATTATTTTAAACACCAAATTGTACTAAAAATCACAATCATTTTGATTTGTGAAATCTGAAAAAGGCCATATTTATTGAACAGAGAATAGGGGGAAAAATGAAGACAGGGAACTACAATGTACTTTTCTTTGCCTCCCTGTTTCATTTCTCTTGCTATTGTAATGGCCCAGCCCAGGGAATCTGCAACCTGGAGTGGCGGTGAGGTGAAGTTCATCATTTTTTTGAGGGTCTGGAGGGGTGAGCAAAGAAGGCCTCACTGGAAAGCTGAGAATTGGGCAGGTCGTTTGCGTGTGGTGTGCACTCCTGGCACATCAGATGGAATCCTGTTTTTTTCTTTTTTTTTTTTTTCTGCTGGGATAGTGGTGCTTGATTAGACAGGGAGTGGGTCTATTTAAAATTTTAGGAGGTATCTTCTTACTTGATTTAGCTGACAACAAAAGAGCTAACATTAGATTTCACACTGTTTTCTATTAAAAAGCAACCTTTGCTGATTACTTTGGAAGAAGCCCTGATTTGGGGGTAGCAGAATAACTTTTAATTGGAGAAGCTGGGCAAGCAAGTCCATTTGGTTTCATTATTTTGCATTTTATAAAGTGAGCTAATGCTTGGACTCTGTTGCATTTTTTTTTTCTTAATCAACCTTTGAATGTATTTATAAAATGAAATTCATGGTTGAAACTCAAAAGAGGGGAGATGTAACTGAGGTTTTGTGCTAAGGCTTATATTGTTACACATGTAAATAATGAAAATATTGTTATATATCACCAGATCTTTTTAATGAATTTGGTCATTGTGTTCCTTTGCAGCGCAAGTGTCTTGTGCTTCGTAAAAGTGCCCATTTGTTTCCTCCATTTCAATCCATCCCCCACCTCCCCTTCCAACCCAAAGGAAAGTGACAAAGTTCTGTCCCATCAGACTGGCTAATCCCAAACTAGGCCCATTTATAGTTTACAGTACCCTGTGGCTCTTGACCAGTTGTCCAAGCTGTGGTCATCTCATTCACCCAACCATCTTCTCCTGGCAATCTGTGTGATAAATCATTCAAGGTGTATTTTAAAATAGTCACTTTGCTCTTGTTGCCCTACCTTTTTTTCTTAGTACTTAGCCAAGGACTGTATTTCTTTGTTCCAAAATAGAACTGTCCATTATCGATCTTAGAGATTCCCTCCGCTTCCCTGTAGTCTCCAGTGTTTGCTCATTACTATGCTCATAATCTGTTTTGTATGAATGGTTTTCAACATTCAGAGAATAATTGGTTCTAATATCAAATGCAGTATATATTATTGATAGTTTTATCGATAAGTGTAATATTTTAAATAATTTTAACAATTAAATTTGTTTTTTAAATTATATATTTGTAAAGTATTTATCCTGTTGGAAGCAACAATATATTGTTGTATTTATTCGTTTATTTTTGTAATAAATGATCAACCTCTTCAAGCTAAATCAAAAATGACACTTTTATATATCTATACAAAATGCATTTTAAGAGATGGGAATATTTGTACCAATTTGTATGTAAATAGAGTAAGATCCATCAATAACTTGTAGCTTTCAGGACTAAATTGAAGGAAGAAACCTTCTCTCCACATGGAGTTTAGTTTGCCCAAGTTCCAGGGTAATTAATCAACTCTAAAATGGATGCAACAAGTATTGGCACTGAATGCAGACTTGAAATTACTTATTTAGAAAGTGGATCTGCTTTTTCTTTTTTTAAGGGAGAAAGAAATTAAAGAATTTTCTTTTTGAATGAAATGCAGGTGGCTGACCCTACCAATTAGAGCATATTCTATGTTTCAGTGATAACACCTAATACCTGACTGTGCTCAGAACTCTATGCTGGGAATAGGACTTGAAAGAGACTTGAGAGTTTGAGGTTATTGGTGACCCAGGGGCAAGGCAATGTAGGAGAAAGAGTGGTGCCAGGTAAGAAATAAAACAAAACAAAAACTCTTAAAATGACTGTGAGTGGAGAACCCCTTTCGCCTGTCCTGCTGCTGACAGCATATGTAATCACTACAGGTGTTGCTATTGTTCTTAGGAGTGAGGCATCTAAGAAGTGTGGGGGCTGCCTCTTCAGCCCTCCCAGTTTTGTAGGTTACTTGGTCATCTCAGTTCCTCAGGGCTGCTGGTCTYAGGGCCTGAAGGTCATCCACATGACCTCCTGCTGCCGGAGCCCCATGGTAGGCTTGATCTTGATTTCAAGAAGGAAATCGGAGGGCTCTGCTTTTACCTCCTGAACTTTCT